TTTAAATCATTCAATGTCAAAAATTTCAAAGTGAACTTATTTGGTAAAATACCACAGCAATGTGTAGTACTTTATGTGTGTTCTCTCTCCAACTACTTGATGCCATTTTTGATTTATTTATGTTTTCAATTTGTATTTCCTGGGACTGGAGGGAGCTCAGTGGTAGAGCACTTGCCTTGCATGTGCATGGTGCTGGTTCAATCCCCAGACAGCACAAAATAAAATAAAATTGTATTTCCCGTAAGTTGATTAAACTCATGGAAAGAAAGACAAAAAAAAAAAAAAGGAGGACATATTTCCAAGTATTTGGGACATGGTTGGGTGGACAATTTGGAAAGGTATCATTCTTTGAAGTCCCTGAGATGGCCAAGACCAAGTCCACTGGGCCTGTTCCCCTCCTGCCTGGTCCCTCCATCCCCAGGATTGGTTCTACTCTTCAATACAGAAAGCCCCCTTTCTTGAGGGTCTCTCCCTAGTTCACCTCAGACTTCTCAGCTTGCCACCGAGTTCTTGTCCAGCCACACAAAAGACAGAGCCAGCATCTTTTCAAGATGAAAATAGAAGTGTTTCCTAGGGGGTTTTTGCCTTTTTACTTTTCCAGATGTAGTTAAGGGAAAAAAACCTTCTTGTCAGGCCTAGAAGTTTTAAAAGTTGGGTGCTCATGGCAAGTGGCTTTTCTTTGTTTCTGTTTCTGGCCCACAGTTTTGAGTGACTCAGATATCAGAACAGAGAAGGATCTAGGTCTGGGGCAAGGGCAGCTGTGGACTCTGATTTAGATCTTCATTTTGTGAAGGATGTGTGACACAAAATGCCCCAAAAGGTCAGAAGTCTGTGTGAAGCTAAACCCAAATTTGCATTCTTCGCTCTTCTCAAGGTCCTCCTCATCACCTCTACCCCCCACTCTCCTCACCACCTTACCCACCTCACTTTTCTGTTACAGATGCCCTAAGGCAGAGATTTCCCCTGTGCTGACCTACGTATGACCCATGCTTCCCAACTGGAGCGGTTCCGCACACATAGCACAGGTTGAGAAATAAGCCTATCTGATTTGGGTTGTCCGAGTCAAATAAAACTACAAAATTATAAATACAGATAATGAAGACATATTATTCCTTTGTAAAGGCCATGATTAGATGAATACCTAACTGGTCTTTCGATTTTTTTTTAAGAAAATACAATAGAGTAATTTAAAAAATTAGAAATGATACAGAATTTCACTAAACAAAATAATATGAATTTGACAGCATTTATTGAATTGTATAGTGTTGTCTTCAACTTAGTTGTTCTGCTTACCATGTATGCGCATGCAAAATTGGAAAAAGAAAGAAGAAAATCAAAAGTAAAAAGATATAAGAAATTAAAAAGAGAAATTTAAAGAAAGTTTTGAAAAATTAAAAAAGAGAAATTAAAAAGGAAGAAGACGATAAAAAAGCATTAGCTGCTTCTTTCCATAGACCAGCAGATATGCTCAGCACAATTCCCCAAGCCATCCTTTGTACACAGAGACATGTATCTGTCCCTCCTACTCCCTCTCCTCCTCATCTCAGTAATCTCTTCCTTTTGAACAGATTCATTTCCTTTTTGTAGTATCTATTGTACCCGTTAGATTTTATTTACTCTTTCAGGCTTTTATGCTAGGGAGACAATACGATGTTTGAGTTTTGAGCAACATCATATGACCAAGTTACTGAGTAACACCAGAGGGCTTACAGTAAGGAGACAAAGACAACCTGTGCATCAGATTTTTCCCCCTTGAATAACCCAGAAACCAGAGAGACAGAAAGTGAAATATCTTTCACCACAAGAACTTCTGAAAGAACCAAATAACAATTTTTTCAGTGAAAAGAACTAGATGAGAGCTCCCCCTTTGAGTTCAGGAATAATGTGGCTTTGCTTGTTTTAAACATTCATGGCATTCAGTGTGGCACAGGAAGGGCGGCCCTCCCTTCTACTCTTTATAATCATTTATATTTAAATTCATGCTTTAATAAAAAGAAGTAGATAAAAGCCCTTCCCCCTCAGCACCATTGTTCTTGAAGCATCTTATATGATGGCAAAAGGAATACGTGAGCACTATGGGCATTCTGGAAAATTCTGAAACTCTCAGAGAAGAAACAGTCCACTTGTTTATCCAGCTTCGCCACCTATAACATTTCGGGGCTTAATCCTCTTGCCTGTCTTGTGCAATCTGTATTCTGCACAAACACAAAAACATACTGGTTTTATTTTTGCACAAACCATCAGCAATCTTCACCATCACAGTTACAACTAGATCCACCATGGTAATTTCTCCAACCCAGCCTGCCTTCCTCAGCATGAAGTGCATGGCTGAAGATCTAAAGACTGTGTGGAGTCTGACTCCACTCACCCTCCAACAACTGTCACCAGGCATCATCTGAGGGCATGCCACTGGCTTGGGAGGGAGGATGACTGGAAAATATTTCATGCTTTTGTGGGGGAGCTGGCTATAATAGGATCTAGTGACGGTACCTATTAAATGTCGACAGACAACTCCTCACTGCCTATGTGTGTGTTTGCGATCCATTCACCAGAAAAGAAATTTTCTCTTGAGCCTTAAACTTCTCTTGAAAGCTCTCTGTTTGCCTTTCTCAAAAGAATCGGAGCACTCACTTGAACTTTTGCATCTCTTTCTTGCTTCTAACATCAATTTTTGCCTGATCGCTCTGAAGTCGGCTTCCTACAGAAAACTTCAGGCTCTGCCTCAGCCCTCAGGCGGCTGTCTAGAGCTCTGGGTCTGCTTCTATCCTGTGGTCGCCAGCTTTATCTTATCTCAGCTACTTTAAACAAACCCCTTTTATCTCTTCTCCCACCCCCATCCCATCAGGCTTTATGGTCCTTTGCAGTTTGGTAGCCCCACAC